ACACTAGGTCGATGAAGAAGGCATTTGGACTGTCCAGAACACCAGATCTACCCAAGATGAGAGAGGGCTTGTTGCTTGACTGAAAGATGCATTACTGGTTTGTGATGGGAATGCAAGATTGCCCCAGATTGATCTTTTCGTTGGTTTGTAAATAAGAAAGAGTGGTTTCCATTTCTTTTAATTTTGGAGGTCACCCAAATAACAGGTGTAAACCAGGGCAGATGTGGAGAAGGAATAAGAAACCGTCTTGTGTCTCTGGTTGTTTCCAGAGAGGCAGCAGAAAATAAATTAGAGGAAGTGGGGAAATGAGACACGTGGTTTGTTTTTTAATAAATATTTCCTGATGTATGTTTAAGAACTTGGTCTGGCTTCAGTGGTTTGCTTTGATTTCTTTGATATTTTGCAACTTTCTAGCAAAGGGATTTCTTCGGGCTAATAAATTCTGCCCGGAAAAAAACAGTCAGTTTATTAGGTGTGATCTTACGTTAGGCTAGGGAGATTTAAAGGGGGGGGTGTGGTGGGTTTTCTGTAAGCTGTAGGAACGAGGCTTTGCATCCTCTGCTGCCACACGGCATGAAGTCAGGCCAAAAAAGGAAGCAGTTTGCTGCTCTGCCTGGGCCAGCGCAGGGACCTGCAGGGAGAGGAGCTGCTGGGGAGCAGGCTCAGAGCGAGCCTGGAGCTGTGTGTTGGGACAGCCTCATCTGATGAACGCTGTTCTGCTTCCTCTCCTGTCCTGTTTCTTTGCGGGGGTGAAGGCAGGCATTTATTATCCAGCTTTATGCGTGCACTGAGCATCAGACAGCAAATAGGTGGTGTAGCTGGAAGGAAGGGGAGCAGGACGGGAGGGTAACGGGTCAGAACAGAAGCAGGTTATCTGGGTTTGCCTGCGTGCTTTAAAGGTGTTCTCTTCTGAGTGAAAAAAACAACTTTGAACAGGAGATGCAAAATCTCTTAGGACCTGTTGTGGGCAATACAGTTCCTGAGCACTTCTCAGTGCACACTGACAGCATGCGGGAGCAGGCAGGGGAGGTGCTGCAAATACAGGTAGCTGGCAGGAGCATGTCTTGAAAGAAGACAAAGACATTTCCGAGACATTTTTTGAAGGGAAAACGTGTTTTGACAAGATCAGGCATCAGGATCCTCTAAGTTGGCGCATGTCATGCGGGGATGGAAGGTGAGAGCTGGGGAGGAGGAGGAGGTGGAGGTCAGTAGGGAGTGTTTGAAAAGCATTTTCAGTGCTTTCTTCCCAAGTGTCCACTGCTAAGCTTTGAAAAATAAAGGCCCTGGAGTAGTTGAGTGTTTAATGATGAAGGATATGGAACTTTAGGTTTCTTTGCTTTATCTTTAATGCGTCATTAAAAAGCATATTGTTTTTGATGAAAAAGTTCACTGAGTGGCAGTGAATTCTGCATTAATCAAACATCGTTTAAAAACAAATCCATTTAAAATATTTGATTTGAAAAGCTGAACCTTGTTCTGTCTCATCTAAGTAGGAGTGCATCCTGCATCTTAAAACCAAGCATTCTTCATTGACTACAAGGCTAGATCAGTTTACTTGCTCATAGCAGAATCTTATTTTTCTGGTGGTTTGGTTAGACAAGTAGACCTCTGAGGAGGCTGTCAAGGAAAAGCACACTGAAATGAAGTCAGTAAACAGTTAATTCTGAATTCAGGTGGGTCCATAATCAGCCTTGCTGGAGATAATGAGGTTCACCTCCTGTGGATTTTGTCTCCTGCATAACAGCTGTCTCCTATAGTTCAATACCTTGTGAAATGCAGTTATAATTGGAAGCATTTGTGTGATTTGCATTGTTTGCTCCTGCTTCAGCATTAATAATGTGATATTCAGGGTGAATAAACACTATTTTATATTTAATACTTAGTATTGTAATCCTTTGTGTGATTTTTAGCAGCTATATTTTTGCTCCTTCTTGGTGTAAAAAAAAAAACCATTTAGTTTCTTACTCTTTCCTGTTTAAAATGTTTGGTCTCCTAACCAGCTGTCACTCTCTGCAATTCACTTTGCAGATATTGACTAAAAATAGTCAGTAGGACCCTGATCTGTTCCTGAACTAATTGAGACGGGGTTTGACTGACAGATGTATCCGTAGAGGTTTTTCCCTGAATGGATGAATTGCAGTTGTCCCTTTATAATAGCATATTAATTGAAATTAAAACAAGCATATAACAGTTGAAAATACCCGGACCTGCTATGTTTTGATTCTTTGTGTTGAGCCATCAGTTTTTCTTTTCAAATACCACTTTTGTATCTGTGGAATTCAAATGGACTACCTTGGCCCCAGAAATGGATATCATTAGGCTTCCTATCAAGTTTTTTGTTTTTTAAAACACTTCTGTGTGTCCTCAGTTGTTCCCACCTGCTGCTGATAAATTTGGGGGAGAGTTTTAATCTCACTTTTGCTATTTGGCTGCAGGTGGCAATAAAAATCATTGACAAATCTCAGCTGGATGCTGTGAATCTGGAGAAGATCTACCGAGAGGTGCAGATAATGAAGATGCTCGATCATCCACACATTATAAAGCTCTACCAGGTATGGTTAGCAGTGTCTTTTCCTTTCTTGTCCTCTCTGCTCCTGTTTCAAGAGTTTGCACTGTTGTCTTCTTGTAGATTAGCAGTACAAGACAAACTCAGCTATTCTGGAATTGATTTGCATTGGATGGGTGTTTAACATTTTTGAAAGCACATCGGTTGTGGTCTTGTTCATTCTACTGTAGCAACTAGGCTGCCCTTGTTAGATACTGAAAAGTATCTGAAATCTGCATGAAATACACAGAAAGCTGTAAATGTGATGTTAGTGAAAGAGCTGAGTTTGAGATACCTGGTGATGAAACTTTGATGTGTGTAATTAGAAAAGGTACGATGTAAGCTAGAGCAAGGTGGGAATATTCAACGTGATGTCTACAACGAGCACGAGCTAGAAGGATCGCTGCGGAGGACGTCATGGTTTTCTTTGGTTGAGCCTTGCCTGAGAGAGCAAGCTGAGGAGTACTTGTAGCTTTTCTTATCTTTGGATAAGATAGGAGGATGTGTCAGTCCAGACTCTGCAAATGTGTTTGTGGTGTAAATGCACGTACCAAGCAAGAGGTACCCAAAGACTTTATCTTGAAGTGCATTTACTAGAAGACAGATAACTAGTTGTTCCGTAGGTTTGTTTCTGCTGTGTGAACACTCCCCTTGAAATTGCTGAGGTAACTTGCAGAAACAAATTGAAAAATTGTGGTAATTGGATGTCCAAGACAGACTTTCACCTCTTTACCAAGAGAATACTATGAAAATAAGTAGTCCTGTGGCTGTGTTTGCTTTTTTGCTCTTCCTACAACTTACTTAACGGACAATTTCTCCATCAACAGGTGATGGAGACCAAAAGCATGCTGTACCTCGTGACAGAATTTGCCAAAAATGGAGAAATTTTTGGTAAGCAAGAGAATGTTTCAAATGTTAAGTTCAGTGCTTTAACTTCAGCAATTTGAAAACTGTATTTATTTTGCCCAAGAACTCATTTTTATTTTAGCATGTAATTTTCTTTTCTCTGTCTAGAAAAACACGTGATAACTGGCACTGCTGCTCTTTTTAGTTCTAAAAACTTTAGGAAAAAACATTACAGTTTGAGTTTCCAACATAAATTTTTGCTGTAAGGGGAATTAGCTGCTGTACAGTTGGAATTAATATGTACAGTTGGAATTAATATGCTCTTGATCTGGAACGTATATTGTTGTGTCTCACCTTCAAAATGTGAGTTGAAAAATGACAAAAGAGATGATGAAATATGAATTTGCATGGGGAGAGATTGAGTTAAAATGGTTATTAGTCAGGTTTTGTTGGGCACCTACTGAGTAGAGTGACCTGTCTTTTGTGGTGCTAGATAGAAGTGTTAAAGTACTATTTAATAGCAAGAAGTATGTTTCCAGGAGTGATGCAAAGGTAAAGTGACTGGGGTAGTAAGTTACTACAGTGAGACAGTGGGTTTTGACCTGAGAGTTTGTTGGAACTGGAAAAAAACTCATGGATTTTTATTTCACAATGCAACATAGCATGTGCACAGTACAGTTGACTCACTTTTTCCTGTCTTTCTTAACACTGAGTTAATTTTTCATCCAAGATGGAAACAAGATGGATATTTGTCATGTGAGCCTATTTAGGCTTAGCATAATTTAACAAAACGTAGCAATATGCAAATAGATTTATCATATCAGCGCAGTGGGAGACTAACGACCGTGTATGATCATCTATTGATGATCAAACTCCATTGTGCCATTACCAGCTGAGGGTTTAACACAGCAATGAAGGGATTATACTCAAAGAGAGAGGAGCTGGAGGCTGGTGACCCTTGGGCTTGTGTGAACGAGGCGGTGAGACCTCATCTGTAGAAATAGTGCTTCCAGGTACATCTTCTTGCTTGGACAGTGTAATACCAGCACAACTCATCCTGAAAATGTTGGTCCCGTTCTGTTAGAGCTTGTTTGGCCACATTATTTGTTAGCAATATTTGAGTGTAGGTCTAGGAAAGCTGGAAGTTGGAAAGAGCACTGTTAAGATGCTGCTCATGAACTCTTACGTGTTGTTTGTGGAGTAAACCTACAGGAATCTAAAGAGATTCCTGGAGGAACTGAGATGTCTGAGGCAGTACTAATGTTCTTGTTGATTTGGAAAAATTGTGCAGTTACTGTTACGGAAAGGCAATCATGCTGATGTGTGATTCAGACTTCATGTAGCATCTTCCCGTAACTTGAGAGGTGGAGATAATATGCAATGAAAACAGGATAAGAGATTGAAATACTGGTGTGTTGTTTGCCTTACAAATACCGCCAGGGCCCCCTGGAGGGCCCTAGTGATTGGAGAGCAGAAGAGGTGGAGCGTGACTGATTTTCATTTTTTGCACTGGGGGACGGGGGTGGATTTCATGGAAACAAATCAAATGTTCAAAGTCCCTTCTTTGTTTTCTGGGTTATCTCTTTTTTTTTTTTTTTTTCCACCTTTAGGTCCTTATCTTTGGACTGTTTGTAATAAGCAGGATATCACGTCCGCGGCAATTTCAACATAACTTGGAAGTAGAGAAAATCTGGGGTAGTATTTATGAAAAATAAATATTTAAATAAATATAAACAGAAGTAGAAAGGAGACTCAAGCTGCACCATGTTTTCCTTTTTCCCATCTTGATCATTCATTGGGTGTGCTGAATTTGTCACTTCCAGACTAATGGGGTATGAAATAGTCTCACTTTTCCACCATTAGTTTTCAAACAGCGCAGACAGTGGGATGGTCCTCTGCAGTTCTGTACCCAAGTGTCTTTGAAGTTTTTAACATTTTGCTGTGTGTCTTTGTGGTCTGGAAGTTTTTACTTTTCCTCTCCTAAAGCAAGGTGATTAGAAACCTGTGGAACCTGCTGTTACTTCAGTTAATCGGCCTCCTGGCATCATTTAACTATTGTGCTCAGGTTTGTTCTTTGACTGACCTGTGACTGCACTGGAGGGGGATTTAAAACAACAACAACAAAAAAATCTGTAGGTTTGTGGCAAGGTTTAAGTTTTTACCTGAAAAGCTGATCCCTCTGTTACCCGCTGGGAGTGAGAGGCCTCTCGGGGGTCTGGTTCAGAGCAAGGCCTTACAGAGCTTCGACTCTCCCTCCACAGGAGCCTCTCCTTTTCTGACTGCAGAAGGAGCTGAGAGAGAGAGAGTAGACCCAGTAAGTTGAAGTTGGCCTTTGTGGTCACTCCTCTGAGAAACTCAATGATTTAGAAATGTTTTGAGAGTATAAAGTTGTCCCTTCCGACCTTCCCCTTTCAGGAGGTGCTGTAAAGAGCACAGCGTGCTCTTCAGGATGGGTCTCGGTAGCCTGACTGGCGAATGTTCCCTTAATGCCTTGTCACACTTTCAGGATCACTGTGAGTAGCCTGGTGCTAACCTCACTGAGGCTTTTCAGTTCTGCTAACCCATCAGTTCATAGTGCTGACTGGTGGTTCCTGGACAGGATTACTTTTATCCCCTACGCCGATATTCTTTGCTGTCTTCATAGCTACAGTAACGTTTTCTGCACTCAGCAGTTGTGAATTTTACCTTTTGCCAGCTAATATTGTTGCAGTAAATATTGTTTTTAGTCTAGGCACTTCAAATGTGGTTACATTTTTCTTTTCTTTTCTTTTTTTTAAAAAAAAGAACAAGTCCTTAGACTTAATAAAATACTTGAAAAAAGGTTTCAGTTGTGCCTATTCTACTTTACAGATCTACAAAGTTTTAAACTCGCTGTTTCTGCTGATTTTTTTTTGAAGTATCTTTACAGCCACCACCTTGTAACCTTCAACATCACTTACCTGAAGCCTCTTAAACAGCTGAGACACAGATTAACTGTTAGCTAAACTAATTACAGTCAACCTATTCTGAAGGGCTAATTCTCTAGTTTTTCATTAGTGACCATTGGGTTTCTTTATATTACAAAAATCCAGACTGTGGAGGGTGAAGCTGACTATTAAGCCTAAAAATAACCCAACTGTTCAGCAAGGGGAAAATGAATATCCAAGGCTTCGGATAGTTTTTTTTCCTACTACTGTGAAAGTAGTTCACCCCCTCTTGCCTGCTGTCTGGCATGCTCACTACCAGGTGTATTTTTAAAGCAGTAAACATGACCAAAAGAGTTCAAGACTAACAGCTTGTGTGACTTTTGTCTGGTTGACCTTTTAACTATTTAAAGGAATTGCTACTTTTGGCTGACATTTAAGAAAAATTCATTTGATCTTGTCCTTCAATTTTCTGAGGGTGACTGTACCTATGTATGTACTCTTTTTTTTTCTACTACATCCTGGAAATGTGAAGGAGAAAGAGACTAAAGCATAGGTAAGAGGCATTTCAATTACCAGCTATGGTCCTTGGAAGAACAGCTTAACTATATTTGCCTACTCACTTCTGTTATCTTTCATCTCACAGCTGACTTTCCTAATGTGTTTAGGTGTTCCTTACAACCTTCAGCCTGTTTTGCAACCGGGCAGTAGATACTGAGGACCTTGCAGCCTTTTAGAGAAGCTGCAGGGAACAGTGGGCTAGTGCCAGGCTGTACTCTTGTGCCCATAGTACAGAGAGACAGAGAGATAATGATTCCCCTTGTAACTAGTACTTTGCAATATTGCAGTATCCTTGCTCAGTAGATAAAGACAACAGCGTCTTCCAACTACTCTAGACTCTTTCAGCATAAATATTAATCCTTAGGGAGGCATTTGATACTATAAACCTCTGTACTTACATTTTCAGCTTCTCAGAATCTTGGTCCCGTTTCAGTGAACAATAACCTTGCAGTCTCTCCAGAAACACTTCTCCGTAAAGGAGACATTCAGGCATGTCTTTCGTTTGTTAGAGTATTAATAATTATGTCTGTATCTGTAAGATCCTAGTCTTACCTAGCGGTTTGTCCTGGACAATTTCATTTGTTTTTGGGCACAGTTGGAAAGCTGGACTGGAATAGGCTTGAGCAGCTCTCAGTTTTGTCCTAGCCTTGGCGCAGGATCATCTGTCTCTAGAAAGAGGGATATTGTAACCTTGTTAGACAAGAATATACAGGATCTGTTTTTTTTAGTTTAATAATTATTCTTCCTCGTGGATCATCTGGATTTCCTTACCTGAAGTTCTAACCCATTATTATCACTCATGTTAATAGGCATTCATAAGACTGGAAATACAGTGTGTCCCCCTAATATGCAAATAGTCATTCTTTACTAAGCTTGAACTGTGTGAGTGATGCCTTGCCCGTCTTACGCTGAACCCAAATCACCAAATAGTTGAGGCTGGAAGGGATGTGTAGGGAATGTCTAGTCCAGCCCTGTGGCTCAGAGCAGGGTCAACCAGAGCAGGTTGCACAGGATCACGGGTGAATACTCTGCAGTCTCTGTGGCCAACCTGTTCTAGCATTTGACAACATGCACAGAGGGAAGAAAAAAAATATATTTAAATGGGATTACCTTGTTTCAGTTTGTTCCCCTTGTCCTTTCACTGGTTATTGGTAATAAAAGTGACTTTTTTTCCTCCTGTCAAGTATTTATACACAGCTATACAATTCCTTTCTGAACGTGGTCTTCAGGCTGAATGCCCTCCACTCTCTCAGCCTCCCATCGTGTGATGGGCACTCCAGTCCTTTAACCATCCTCATTGTGCTTCACTGTGCTCTCTCCAGCCTGTCCCTGTCTCCCTAGCAGAGAGAACATAGCAAAAAACATACGCAGTTGTTCACCTAGCTGAAGGACAGTAATTTGAGTGAAAAGCACTGGCCAGTGCTTGACAACATCTCTGAGTCATGTTTTGAAGTGGATGCCATCTTCATGTTTCACTTACCCAGTAAACAGATGTACTCTGTGGTACTGAAAAGGTCGGACAGGAAGCTGCTTTTGAGCAAAAGTCCTGCTTCTGCCTGCTGTGGATCCAGCTGAATCTAAGATGACTTCTGGTTTCTATCTCACTACAGAAAAATGGACGAAAAAAACAAACAACTTAAAGCTTGTAGATGAAGGGTATGAAGTGAGGATGAGATTCACCAAACTATGTTTATAAAGGCACATAAAGGCTTTGTCATTTCTGTAGTTGCAAATGACAAGGGGGTGCTTTGCTCTTCACCTAAGTTACTCCTGGGTGCTAGCTCCAGAACTACACGTGAGTGTGCAACCAGCGTCCAGCCTCGAGCATTCATGGCAGGATGTCTCTAGCAAATTTCAGCTGCCTTTAAGTCCTTGCTGAAATCCAGGAGCTGGCGCCATGCCTGTGTCCCAGCCTGTCCTATTTGAAACTAGTTAATGTACAAACAGTATCCTTGCGTGCACCAGCTTCACCTGTTAGGAGAGATCATGGCATATTCTACTTCACCAGGAGATAAAGTAGCGTATTTCAGAATAAATTACCCATTCCATGCAGGCTGCTAGACTTGGTGGAAAGTGCAAGGCCAAGACTACTGCTAAAGGCGGTTTGGAAGCTCTAAATGAGCCCTGACAGGCTAAAGCTGTGAAAGCAAATGACAGTTTAGGTCCATTAACGTATTTGCTGCATTGCTAACAAAGGATGGATTAACAGCTTACAGGGCTGGCTTGCATTCAGTGTGATTTAGTTTGTGTCTTTGATATCTGACTTCACCTTGCCATCATGTGATTTGTCAGTCACTCTGTGACTGAGTGATATTTTGCTTGCAAATATTATGATCTCCCCTTGCTGCCAGGCTTTTGTTTGTTCTCGTGCTTTGCCAAGTTAAACCAGCTGAAAAGGCATTAAGACCCAAGCAGGTTAGAAGCTCTGAGGAGAGTTTTTAGATCTGCAGCTTTTGTAGATCAGATCGAACAAAGTGCTTAAAAATGTTTGTGAGGGTTGCTGAAACAGTTGTACTGCAGCTGAGGTCTCTCTTGTTGCACTCCAACTGAGATCCCCCAAGAAAACATCTTTGAAACAAGCCTGCTTTACTGAGTGTATTAACAGGATGATGTATTAATGATTGCAATGGTTGTTTAAACCATATGAGTGACAATGTATTTCAGAACTATCAATTCTTCAATTATCAATGCTCCACGCAGTAGCAGCATTGCCTCGTTGCCCAAGTAGCAGCAAAGAACTTGTCATGTACAAGAGCACGAGGTCAGCGAGGTTGTTGGTCTTACACGATCCAATGACAATATTTTTTTCATGGTTTTATTAATTTCTGCAAGAATTCTCATGGTTTGTGCCCCCTTCCTCTGAACAGCATATTTCTTCCTTTGACTTTTCTTCTAGTAACAACAAAGCTGACGTTCACCTTCTGTGAAGTTTTACTGGAAATGTATTTTCTGGTTTTAGTGTGCTTGATACGAGCTGTGTATCACAGAGAAAGCAGAACAGCTTAAATGAAAACATCACGAGCACCTATAACGCCCATAAACAATATGATGTTAGTTTAAAAAAACAAGCAAACAAACCACACAACCTAACAAAACCAGGTATTCTGTGTTACCTTGCTGCTTTGGCATCGTGTTGGGCACGATGATCCTTTTTGGGTCATTGAGGTTACGTAACTAGCTTGGAAGAGCTGATTAATCATTTACTTAGGGATTTTGTCACAGATCCTTGTAAGTAAACAGAGGTAGACCGAAAACCTCCGTTCCGTTGTGTTCTTTTTCCTGCTTGCAGAAGCAGCTGTTTTAACCTGCTAACTGAATTCAGACTGAAATGGTTGTGCCAGCTGGTCTCTAAATGATGAGTCTTGTTCATGGGACCTTTGCGTAAATGATAATTAGAAGGGACTGGTGGCAGCTCAAACAGTTATTTTAAGACTTATTTCATAAATTTCCTAGTTTTGCGTCATTGAATTTGAACGTATTAAGCAGTGGGTTTTTTTTTGTTGCTGTTTGTTTGTTTTTTCCTCACGTATTCCTTAGCTTTGAAAGAGCATTTCAAGGCAGGACTCCGTGCTGATGGAAGGCAGTCAGAGACCAGGGACTCGAGCTGTAGTCTTCCACATTTTCAGGGTACTGCCTTCATCCTGCGTGTACCTGCAGGCTGGTGAAATCTTCCAGTGATTTGGCTGGTAATGCCAGTAGGGAAGGACAGTGTTTCATGCCTCCACTAGCTGTATTCAAGTGGAATTTGTTAGCTGGTGTTCTGTGATGCAGTGAGATACGATCTTCAAGTCATCACTGCATTGCTATGTTTTATTCTGTATCTCCTAGATATTGCAATCTTTTTTTTTTAATGTTAAATTATTAGCTCTAGTTTCACTGCTGATATATTTTTTCATGTTGCTCAGATGCCATTAGTGTATTCTTAAACTAATGATAAGCTGGTTTTAAATTGTTACTGTAAATAAAAAAAAAAAATACAAAAAAGTTTTGTTTGCCTAATCTGAAAGGCTTTGGCTTTGCCAAAACAAATCAAACAGCTCAGCGCTCTGATGTAGAGCTGAAATGGCACAGGAGAACTGCTGACAGCACAGTGAAATTGCTGAAACAAAAGATACACAGTTGTGTTTTTTTTAAATCCCCAATTTAAAATTGTGAGGTAGTTGAGTATCGCTCGGTGGCACTCCGTTGCACGTCCCGTTGCAGTGTGCACAACAGCCCAGCTTCCCCATGGGTGCTTTCCATGGTGTGCCGTACAGCATCGGGGTATTCACGGGGTCACGTAAGCATTTGTGGCAGAACTGAGGAATCCAGAGCTGATGAGGAAACCTTCTCCTGATGGCACCACCATGACACAGTTCCTACACATCTTCGTACTGCTGTTCCTCTGCATTTTGTCTAGTTCGTACTGAAAGTTGATGTCTTTGCGGTATGCTAAGGCCAGTCGTCTTGCACAAACATGAGTCCAAAGTAGTTCTGCTAAATTTGGCTAATTTTCCATAGCTTTACAGGTAACTGAAAGCACAACTCTGGTTGTCTCACGTTCCTGTTGGTCCTTTGCCCGCTTATTTGCCAAATATCAGTAAAGCACCTTCTTTAGTGTTTTGGAAGGTTAGTATTCATACAGTAACTCCTAAGGCTGTACTTCATCACCTCACTGTGAGTACAGAGTAAGCTTACCTGCCATGGAAATGAAACGTGGGACTGCAAGTTAATGTAACAACATTATAATGTTATTAGGAACCAAAGTACCAACTTATTTTAGGAACATTAGATTATATAAATTTAATTTTGTCTTTTCTGATTTATCCAAGCAGAAATCAACAGTCCATAGGCAAGCTTTTCCAAAAGCTTATTGGGTCATTGATCATCATATGTGTGACTTAAGTGCATTATATTGTAGATCATGGGTAGCTGTTATTGCCCTGTCCAGCTAGTCTGTTCCCAACTGCATTTCTTTTCCTCCTAGCCCCTCTGATAGATGTGGGGAGAGGGATGAAAATCCATGCACAGGTTATGTTACGTGACTGGACATTCTACGTGATTAGCACATTCAGAACACCTCTGTATGTGATGTCTGATAACATCACATTACGTACACGAGTAAATAGTCCTCACAATTAAAAGCTGAGCTTGTATCAACTTGTACGAGGGGAGGTGTGTTTGTGTGATGCAGGAGGCCATGGCATAGCCTCACATCCCTCTGTCATCTCACAGAAAGAAAGAGGCACCGATTGTGCATCTTGTAAACAAAATCTGCTTTTTTTAATCTTGGAAAAAAATAACCAAACTCTTATAATTCATCCCATAAGCTCATTTCTTGCTCTCTGTTTTGCTGTTTAATTTCAGTGCTAGTTGTGCTGCAGCAATTGGCTGGAGATTGGTTAGTGTTAGGTCAGAGGTTGGACTCGATGATCTTGAGGTCTCTTCCAAGCTAGACAATTCTGTGAGATACGCCCAGCCTTTGCCCGTCATCCCTGCCCAGCACACCTATGTGCATTTTCTGCACCTTGGCCATTAACCACGTTCTTTGTGGGATGTAGGAGGCAATTCTGAACCCATCCTAATGGCTGGTTCTTTGCTTTTTCTGCGTTGTAAGAGCAAGAAAAGAACTGGCTGTAGAAGCTGTTTCTGTCAAGACTCGCACAGCTGCTGCTTCGCTTGTTTTTGTTCTTGGGGATAAATGACGTCGTCAGCTTCAGAGCTATCATTTGTTTCAGGGCTAACATTAGTTTTACAACATAATCAAATATGAAAACAAAATGTTCTTTCTGCTTGTGATGCAACGAAGACAAGAGAGAGGTCAGGATGGGTACCTTATGGTTATTTGTTTTAATTTCCGAAGGAAAAATGCTTTTAGCCACCACATAGCGTGCTGAGGCTGGGCAGGAAGGTGTGTGGCGTGAAGCTGCTGGGAATTGATGAGAAGCTGAAAAGCACCTGGTGATGGGGAAGCAAGATATTCCAAGTATTCCTCATTCCACAGGAGTTATGTGAAAATATTTATCAGAATAGTCAGCCATAAAAGAAGGAATAAAAGGTTGAGTTTCACAGTTCTACTAGGCAGCAGCTTTTTTGTCCCTACTCTTTAGGAGAGGAGAATGCAAGAATAATGTGTTGGAAGCTGGGATCGGCTGAAATTTTGAGTAGTTGATGCATTTGAGTATATTTGACAGAAATCACTTAATTTCCAGGGTTACTGCTTGCTGTCTAATCTGTTTAAACCGACTTTATTTTAACAGATTACCTCGCCAGCCACGGCCGTCTGAGTGAGTCTGAGGCCAGGCGCAAATTCTGGCAGATCCTCTCGGCAGTGGAGTATTGCCATGGCCGAAAGATTGTGCACCGTGACCTGAAGGCTGAAAATCTTCTGCTCGACAACAACATGAACATCAAAATAGCAGGTACCCAGAATGCAGATGCTATTCAGTCACACCTGATTTTTGTGAAGGTTGTTCCAGCAGTTCCCTTGCTGCTGCCCAAGAAATCCTGCTGTGCTTAAGGCAGAGAAAATCAGAGTGGTAATGCATACAATATCTTTGCACGATGGATATCACAGTGCACATAGCTCAAAGAAATCCTAGATTAGCTCTATTATACTTTCAGGAAAAAGGAAATAATTTTTAGAGTTATGGTTGTTTTTTTGTGGGTGTCATAACATGCCTATAATGCTGCCAGATGTTCAGGTTAAAACAGAGTTAATCAAATAACTTCTTTCAACGTTAGAAAAACTCAAAATGGAAGCTTATTGATTTTTTTCTTTTTGCATGCATGATTTCATTTTAATTATAAATTTAGACACAGCAGATGTTGCTAGCAATGGAAATCATTTTGTCGGTTGTCAACTCATTACAATTCCACGAATCCTTCCATACTGACTTTAGCCTGGAGACACTTGAAACGGCAAGGCTAGATAACATCTTGATTTGGAGGACTGTTGAACTTCAATCATCAATAATACAGGAGCAGGAAAGGAAGACTAACTGCTGGAAGAAGCTGGTTTGTATTGGTGTAAGCTTGTGAGTTATGAGAAGGAAGTGTGAATAGACTTTCAATAGGCTGAGAAGGATGAAGTGATGAAACATTTCTGAGTTATAGATCATGGCTGGATTATTTTACCCTTGAATTTCCTCTCTGGCATTTCTGAAATGGATGAACTGAAAATGTATCTAGGTCTCTAATGCCTTCTGTAAGGGTAAGGCTTCAGAAAAGTGTTAAATGTACCAGCAGATCTCTAAAACATGTGCTCCTTTTTATCTATGGAGTATGAAGACAGCATCCCGAAAGATTTTGAAGGAAATTTAGCATCTGTTTAATTGGTTAGCATCTGTCACGAAGATTCACCCCTTTCTCAGTGATACTACAGAAGATGTTGGGAAGACTAAGCATTCACTCTATTTCTGGGGATTAACTTCCTCCTTAGGAAAAATCTTTTAAATTCTTTCTAGTCACCTTTATCAGAATGGGAAATCAACACAGTCTTTTACAATGAGCACTTCACCTTTGAGATCAAAACTATTGCTCGAGCAAAAAATTTTATCTTTCTCTTAACCTGTAGCCATTGCTCACAAAACGGGTTATCGTTGGATATAATATGGGATGTTTCTGATGGACTAAGAAGGATTTCTTACCAGTGTATGTATCAGTGGGGCAGCCTTCCCAGATCCTGGATGTGTTTGTTGCTTTTGTATTGACCTTTACTTTTGTCTGTACATTGGAAACATTCCGTTCTCCATTCCTGTACCCCCACCTTCCCACCTCTAGCATGTTTTTCTAATGGCTGAAGAGTTTACAGAAAGGTTAAGTAAGGGAAAGGTTACGGAAAATTGTGATGTGCGTTGGAGAACCGTGATTTGAATAGATTATTAGGCTAATTTTTGTTAGTCAAATCTGAACGTCAGGCGTTTTGTTTTGGCAGAAGGAATGGTGCATAAAACAGATTCTCTGACGCTAAAAAGGGAAGCCTAGTAATCTGCTCTTTGATGACAAGTGCTCTGTATTTCATGGCTCTTTAGCATGTCAGAGTGGGAATTCTACAGAAGGTTCATGAAAGCAGTAAAAATGGTTTTGTTGTTTAATGCTTCATATAAATAGCGGAGGTTTTGCAGCAGCCTCTATTTGATTTTATATTAAGCTATTTAAGGCTAACTTTTAATTTTCTCTATACTCTATTGTTGGGTTTCATATTACTGTTGGAATGTAATGGTATTAAAAGTTACTATTATGAATCAATATATATGAAGCCAAAGGATTTTACAACTGTTGTAGTAGGAAGGTGCAGTTCTGGTATGAGTTTGAGTTCTGACTTAGGGCCTTTGATGCCTGAAGAAAACAAAAGAAACAGTATAGGATAGAGATGATGTCTGGACTTGATGCCAAAGTGGCCCAAGTATAAGTCACGGAGCGGGGCCCTCATCAGTGGTCTCTCTTCGTTAGCACTGTAGGCAAGCACATTCCCTGCCACCATGAACACTGCAGTGCGAGCATAACACAGGCTCCCAAAAATACTTCCTCAAAGGCATCTCAGGAGACCTGTTACCCAGGGAAAGGCTAGAGACGTTGACTGCTCTGTCACAGGGAATTTCGACGTACAGGTTCTCCAGAGACTCGGTAATAACCGAAAGCACTGATAAATGGTCGTTACCAGATTCCATCAGCTGCTGCTGTCTCTTCTCTCCTCTTGGCTGCTCTTGTGCTCTACCTCTGTATTGCAGAAAGCTAATTACAGATGGTCTGTATGTAAATGATTACATTAACTAGTGGTGATTCACATGGTCTGTTTCTTTGGCGTAGCTTTGTCGAGCTTTATCAGATTGATAGCACTTCCCGTGTCCAGCTGCAGTGATAAAGTAACTGGAGAAAAGTTAAGCTTGCCAGAAACCGTGTCGTGATTTGTCCCAAACCAGTTATTTTATTTTTCTCTGCAAAGGAGATAGATGATAAACCATTCTGTGCAATTCATCTGAGATTTTGGAGTTAGCCAGCACTGCACAGATCCCCGAGAACAGTCTCTTCCAGTGGCTCATATTCTTCATGGTTCATTTATCAAATTGTGCAAGAACAAAGGGCAGCCAGGATCCCAACTCTGATAGCTAGAATTACTCTCTAATTAGAATTAATCTAGCAATTTAAAAACAGCACAGTAACTGATGAATTATTTTGATAGAAAGCTCTGCAGCATCGGTGTCTGCATTGGGCCCAGCACTGTGTGTGGGGCTGGACCTTGCTGAACACTCCAAGCAGCTACGAAATCCACATAGATACTCGTGGCCGTTCCAGGCTCCTCTTAACTTCCACAGGATCTCTTGATTTATTCTGGTGGCTTCTAAGTCTTTTACTGAAGCTTTTAATCTTTAAGAATACAACTTTTTCAGTTAAATACTGAAACATGCGTAAAGTTATCTCTGTATTTCAGCTAGTAGGAGAATCAGCTAAGACTCAAAAGTAAGCATTCCTAAAACTATAAGCTGATGAGACCGCCACCTTTTATGTTGAAACAAGTAAGCTGGATTGAGATGTAATGCTTTTGTGTTAATACTGCTCTAAAAGAAAGAGGATAGATCGAATTCCAAGGATCTTTCATTTCTACCCTAGTAACTGGGCAAGAAGCAGGGGATGCATTAAGGAATTGAGATGAGAGCTTTGATACTGTTATTTTCTAGGAGATATTAGGGAGTTGGGAGCAAAAGCCTCAAACTTAAATTTGAGGATATTTAATGTAAAAAATAGTCTTAATCGGATAAAATGGCCAGTGAGAAAATTACAGCTGAAGACTTCCAAACCAGGCATTCTCCATAAAATTTGTTTTTAGTACTGGCGAGGTAAAGCTCCTTTGTTCTTCTCAAAGTTATTGCCTGTGGGCAGCCAGTTTGTTCGTGTACCTTTTGCATTTTGCTGGTTTCTGAAGGGATCGCAGGGGCTGGATTTCAGTGGCTGATTGCTGATAAGCTGTGCTGCCATCAGATAAAACTTGTTCGTTTTCTATGCAGAGAGATGCCTCTGCAGCTGTGAGCAGAAAGTGCAGCTTAGAATTGAGGATGGAATAGTGAGGTTCTCTCCGTGTCCTTCCAGCCCCACAGAACAACCAAATTAAGATGCTTTCTAAATGTGTCTGCAGAAATCATTGCATCCTGGTGGTAAAGCTGCTGCGTGCGAAGCAGATCAGGTAGGAGACTGTTATTTTGAAGGAGGTTGTAGTGCTGGCTCGTCTTGCTGGTGGACAGTAAAATATGCATTGACGTCAGAACTGGCTGATCAGCATTCAGTTCATGAAGTGGGTCAGGTTTGTTTCTAACACACTCATACCTTTCCTTTATCAGTACCTCTCCTCCCGATTATCTCCTCTGCTCGCTCCTATTGCTGTTGTAACAAAAGATCCATGTGGCTCTGTGAAGCCAGGCTGATTGAATCCTTTTGGCAATTTAAGAAGAGTGGATTAATTAGAGCTCGGAGGCTAGAATCCCTTCTGAAGGGTTTTTAGAGGTACAAATTAAAGACCACCTCATATTGCTAGATGCACAGCAGAAGTTGCAGTGGCTCTGGCAGGGAGCTTCTGTTTCTCAAATTGCAAACTGGTCTGAAATCTTACTCTGTTTCCATTTTTAACGGGAAAACAGATTCCATTTGAATGATGTATGTGCAAAAAATTATACCTTCTAAATTCAAGATTATTCTAAAGAGGGTAATGAGATTGAGAAACAAAATGCCCCAAATGTTGAGAGGCAGTATTTGCAGATTGCACAAACACGGAGTTTATTCAGCTGAACACAATGCCATAAATGACTGTATTTTTTTAACGTGCAGATTCAGGCAAATGTTAAGAAGATAAAGATCACTCCATTATATAATCTCAGTCCTCTGGTAACAAGTCCAATTTCGGTCCTTTTAGATTTCCGTGGTTGGGATGTGTTTTGTGGAGGGCTGGCACATGTTCCTTTAAATGCCAGTAATGTTCTTAAAATTCGTTTCTCTGTTATGAGAAACCGTAACACCGTGCTTAGGTTAAAAATGGTTACCTTTGATCCAGAATGATAGCGGTAGATCAGCAATTGCAAAGCAGAAACAAAGTAGGGGGGAGAGAAAGAGAGGCTAATGATTGTTTTGTGCTTAATTGAATCCTGGCTACTCTTAACACTTCAAAAAGTGGGACAACCACTCCGACAGTGCAGTAATTAAACGCTGAGGAAGCCCAATGGATCGAGCATCCAGTATGCTATCTAGACCTTTAACTTCTTCTTTGAAATGGCTTTAATGGATCCTATTAATTCTTGAGGCCCTAAAAAAATAGGTTTAGCATAATTGGAAGAAACAAGTGTGGAAAGTATGATGGAAACACAAGGAGGTAACCGTAATAATTTATGTGCCCTAGCAAATAATGCTGATCTCCCTGCACAGGTAATTATTTTGTCTAACAATAGAATGTAATTGGATTTCTAAAGATAAGAGCAAATTGCTGAAATATGCATCACTGTGTTTTTAAGTTTTATGTCATGTGAAAAAGTACAGCACAAATTAATAGATACCTGGCTTTTACTGTACTTTTAATTGTTGATGCATGCTATTTCTTCAGCAAAAACTTCAAACTGAA